TATAGTAGTAGTAACTGTAGTATATTACTAGTAGTACTAGGCTGCGCCGCGCGTGGGGCTGGACGCGCGCCCAGCCGCCCATTAGCGCCTCGCTCCTGGCTGCTCTCCTCCGCACGCCGCCACGCGCACGAAGGAACTTGATCAGACGGTGCAGTCTTTGTTGCACCAATCTTGAAATCGAGCAAGCACCACTGCCACCAACAATCTCCATCTTCACTGCCCAACCATTTAAGCAAGCATGGTACTTGTTTGCCCAAGAAGAAATCAAAGTCTCCAGATCACCCCTATCTCCAATTTCTTCAAGCCACGCTGCCGTGGTCGTGTGCTGATCCGCTGCCGCTAGCCACCAGCCTCTTCCTGAGCCGGTGAGGCCATCTCCTCATTTTTTTTTCCCCTCTTCTCCATGCTTGTACTGAGCTCCTCGCATGCTCCTGCCCGCCACCATGGCCGCCACCATGGTCGGCATGGCCAGCGCCACATCTCTATCAACTAACCATAAAAATTGAATCTCCTCGTCCGGGAATACGTTTTGACTCGCTCACCCGTCTGCGTTCGCTTCCATGCCTGAGGTCAACATAGCTCTAGATCTGGAACTCGCGTTCCGGCTAGCTCTGTTGTCTTCCAGCCCAGCGTCCACGTCCGATCCTGCGGGGGGTGTCAGGCTGTGGAACACATCATTCTACCATCTCTGTCGCTGTTTCCTCACTGGAGTTCCGGCGTCCTTCCCTCCTCCTCTGTTGCTCACGTGAGAGCTAGGGGAAGAAGACGAACAGTGCCGGTTGGCACTGTTTCCTATTGAACCCAACCAACTTCATCAAAACCCACTTAAATAGTACCTAACCACAATTAAACCAGTCCAAACTATTATATATTAGAGTTTTCGTTCGGTTTACCTCCGATTCAAGCCTAAAAAACCAAATCGATTTCAGTTTTCACCTATGTTATCTATAGCGTTAATCCCAAAGTGCAACCACTACTTCACAGACCATGAATCATAACGCTAGGATAAATCTTTTGCCATCCAAATCAAGTTAACTCTTGATTATCGTTTTCTTTTGTTCAGGCTCCAATTCACAATATTTATTTTATCGTATATTTGTAGTATCTATTATATTATTAAAGGAATAGAAAAAAGAGCCTCCACGTTCGCTCTCATGACCTAAAAATTCTCACATTAATCGGAGAAAAAGAAAAGGCAGAATCCATATAGAAATACAATTTAGAAATAGCTGAAATTCAGAATTAAAAAATAAGGAATATTAGAAGAGGAGACTAGAGTCCATATAGAAATATAATTTAGAAATAGTTGAAATTCGGAATTAAAAAATAAGGAATATTAGAAGAGGAGAGTAGAGTTCATATAGAAATACAATTAGGAAATAACCGAAATTCGGAATTAAAAATAAGGAATATTAGAAGTAGAGTATAGAGTCCATATAGAAATACAATTATGAAATAACTTACATTCGGAATTAAAAATAAGGAATATTAGAAGTAGAGTATAGAGTCCATATAGAAATACAATTAGGAAATAATATAGATTTGGAATTAAAAATAATAAATATTAGAAGTAGAGTATAGAGTCCATATAGAAATACAATTAAGAAAAAAAAATAGAAATTCAGAATTAAAAAATAAGGAATATTATAAGTAGAGTAAAGAGTCCATATAGGAATTTAAAACTAACTAAAATTTAGAATAAACATAATAAAAATTAAAGTAGAGTTTAGAGTCTGTATGAAAATACAATTTACAAATAACTAAAATTCGAAGTTAATAAAAACATGGGAAGAAAAGTTTAAGGTCAATATAAGAATACAAATATAGGAATACAATTTAGAAGTAACTGAAATTCGAAATTAAAAATTAAAGAATATTGAAAGATGAGTTTAGAGTCCACATAGAAATACAATTAGAAATAATAAAAATTCAAAAATAAAAATAAATAATATTGGAAGAAGAGCATAGAGTCTATATAGAAATACAATTTATAGAAAATTCGGAATTAAAAAAAAAGAAATATTAAAAGACGAGTCTAGAGTCCATATAGGAATATATATAATTTACGAATAACTAAAATTTGATATTAAAAATAATTAATAACTAACACATATATAAAATATAATATGAAAATTTAGAAATAAAAATAAATAATATTAGAAGAAGAGCATAGAGTCTATATAGAAATACAATTTACAGAAAATTCGGAATTAAAAAAAGAAATATTAAAAGATGAGTCTATAGTCCAGATACGAATATATATAATTTACAAATAACTAAAACTTGATATTAAAAATAATTAATAATTAACACGTATATAAAATATAATAGGAATATTACACATTAGTAGTTTTGTAAAGTTATTGCAAAAATTAAAATTATGTTGTCATTTTAATATATTTCAATAATATAATAAGAAAACATATATGCTATTATATGAGAAAAGTATAATGATGCTAGCTGCGCAATCTGCGCGGGCCACCATGCTAGTTTTTATTATAGGATTATTTGGTCGTTTATTCGTATGTGTATGTTGGATCGTGTCGGAGATCCCACCGGACCTGCAGGAACTGAAGTGGACCTAGAAGGCTACGTTGAAGCTTCAGAAGGCCACGTTCCACAAGGCAAGACACAGTTCCAATCTTTGATCATATTGAAACCTAGTAGAGAACCACTTAATTATTTTTTGCATTGAGTATTTATAAAATTATTTTGCGTATGATTTATTTTTGAATAAATTTGTTAGTATAGTTATTACCCATTATTACGTTGTTATTATTGGCCAAACCCACGAATTGCTATATCGTGTCCTTTGATAACCTAGGTGTAGGTTTATATACTTCACAATAACATTGTAGTGGATAAGACCACCAAATATCTATAATCATATACTTATTTTACCCGTCGTCACATGGTGGCGTGTCGAGTGACATAAAATTGGTTATTTGATATAAGTCACTCCCCTGGAGTGATATGGAAGATTAATACCGTGTGAAGATGGATGTTGTGGTTTGTGAGGCCGTGCATATTATTATAATTATTTTGTGGAATGTGTATATTTACACTTGGAGTATGCATGGGCCTGTGTTAGCTTTGGTGGCTTTCCCCGGATATAAGGACTACCCTCTTATGCCATGGAAAATGTTGTAATTTTGCGCCCATCCACAGGACTAAGTAATCAGACTTAGACTAGTACATTGTCCCACTGTATGAAAGACTGCAGGGTTACTCTATGAGCAGGTTTGGGGTGGACTTGTGGAAGGGGCTTCCGCCAGGTTGACATAATCCATAACAGTACGAACCCGTGAAAGCAATGATCATCTAGCATTGCTTAGGCCCAGCAAGTGCCCGACTACTAGGACAGATCAATATCCCGCTGGGCAGTAACTAGTAGTAAGTGGGACTCTCGAATAGCTATGTTGTCCTCAGACTTGCGAACTATTGACATCATGCAGGTAAAGCTGGGCAGTCTCTGTAGAGATGAGTCTTGAATCATTCGTATGTGCCGTGCTTCCGGTTAAGAAGCTGTGTCATTGGGTGATTCCTATTTATCATGGTATGAGTAGCTTTTAAATTAAAACATATGAAATATGTAGAAGATGAGGATGAATGGTGATTAATATTGCTACCATTTTAAAATGACGTTTTACAACTATTTGCAAATGAAATGTTTTATAAAGTAGGGAAATACTATTTATGATAGGCTTGTTATGAAACCTCCTTGATAAACTATATTCCTTGTAAGCCCAGTGTGTGTCTGTGTGTGGCGCTACGTGAAGCGACACAAACGGTGTGTGCCACGTTGCTTTGGTGGAGCGACTCGCAGGAGCGCCCCGTCTGTGTTTTCCCTTTTTTTCATACGGTCCCATCGCCTAACCTCCTGATTTTCCGTTTTTCCCATGATCGCTCCCCCTGACCCGGTTTCCTGATTCCAAGCGTATATCCCCTTTGGGACTACCTGTATATTTATTGACAAATTTTCTCCTAAAAATTTGATAGATGTAATTATAGTACAATCGTAGTGTAATTACACTGTAACTTATATGTAATTACACTGTAACTTGCATGTAACTACAGTGTAACTTATATGTAAGTTTCACATAATTTTGAATCGTTAGATCTATTACAAGATTTGTTTCGGTGAGGAAGAAAACAAATCATAGCACACACATATGTGAAAGAATTTGTTCCCACGACATCCATTTTACCGAAATAACATGTTATGGACAGATTTTTGAAAGTTACATACAAGTTACACTATAGTTATAATGTAATTACATGCAAGTTACAGTGTAATTACACTACGATTGTACTGTAATTACATCTGTCTAATTTTTTGGGGAAAATTTGTCGACAAATATATAGCAAAATCGATCCCGTTTCTATTCTAACGAGTAAAAAAAAAAATCATCCGGACCCTGTTTGGTTCATGTAGTAAAGAAAAATATTCCTTAAGTTAAAAAGTTACTAGGCCATGACCACTAGTTTCTCCACCAGACTTGTGACTTGAGTAAAAAAATTACTATGTCTCTGTTCAGTTAATTAGGTTCACCAGATTTGTTTAGTAAAAAATTGACTATCAACCAACTTCTAAAAGTAAAAAGTTTACTACGTGTCATATCCATTTTTATCTGCTAAGAAAATTTGTCCTCTAAGTAATTAAATCGTTTTATTAATCTTTTGTATTTTTTTCTCCCACATTCATCCGGTAGTAGTTCAGTTAAAAGATTCCTGAGCGAAATCAGGCGTATATCTACATGTAGTAAAAATTTTACTCCATGCAAGTTAGAGGTCGATAATACTTGTCAAGGTCAGAAAAAATTCACTCCCTTATACTTTTCACATCACTTTCGGTGTGTTTGATAGTAACTTTTTTACTAACTGAAAATATGACATTGTGAAGGGAATAATTTATTTACTGAAATATTCAGGTTGAAAATCTAATTAGTAATATATTTACTCCGTTCTACGAGACAATATTCAGGGTTAAACTTTTGCACTGAGAAGAATAAAACGATCAGTAACTTATTTACAAAATATATTATTACATCGAATTATATGATTGCAAAAAGTTTTAAAAAATAATACAAATGGAACAAGCTATAGCACCGCCTGTCTTGTTGACGGCTGCCGTGGCAATCCAAACCGTCACCATTCTCACATTCTAGAGGAGACAGCAAGGCAGCATATATACAAGTACATACATAGCACTGTCGGCAACACAACGAGAACACACGAACCACCATAGAATTAACATGAAAAATAACGCATAGCACTACGCCAAGAAAACATGAAGCTAGCATCGGGAGTTTGGGATGGAGCAGGTCGCCGGGATTATTAGTAGTGCCTGAAAAGGATTGATTTAGAAATCACCATCTGAAATGCATTATTAGTTATTCATTTAGTTCAGCATTGGTGACAATATTTTTTCAGATCACCTGTATGAGTGCACTTCATCTTCTGATGCACCTGCATGTGTCATTGTTTGGGTTAAAATATGCTCCTACAAGATGAAATTTTGCTCTACACTATGAGTAGGCAGGATTAGTGGATTGAACAAATATTATGAGGCTATGAGCATTGCATAGGATAGGCGATGCTTACAGGTTGAAAAAACAAAAAAATCATGAAAACTCATAGAAAATCTAGATGGGGATTTCATGGTGTATATTAGGGTGAAATGACAAATGTTGATCGTATGAATCAGGCATAATCTAGTTCAGTGGACAATCAAAATTGTAGCAATGACACGCAAGATCATAGTTCTTCTATTGTTTTCAGAAGCTTAGAACAACCCTGCATGCACGCACCAGAATAGTCAGATGATCACACATATATAGCACCAATGAAACGACCAGACAACAACTCGTGATGTGTATTATTTTAGGTACGATGTATCTAATCTACTCACTGAATCATGCATGAATATATGGATACACTTCAATATATAGATCAAACAACCATAATGCAGAAGGCATGAATCTGTTGGGAATCAAAGCAACTCATGTGAACACAGTGGACACAAATCACACTTACACGTGAAGAGTACAAGGAAGAAGAAGAACACAACACACAGAGTATTTGTGACACCACGCACAACTTGTGCCTTTTCTCTTTCTTTTCTTTACTCCACACACTAAACGGTTACAATGAGCAGCTATTTATAAGCTACTAATGCACACATACACTGGATGAGCTACTTGATCCACTTTCTTCGCACACGACGCCCCACTTCCTTGGCCGCATCTCCTCAAGGCCTGGCGATATGCTAGCTGCATGCATCTAGGAGAACTAATCCACCACGTGCAGGCCTAACTAACTAATCCATGCAAGACTCGGCTAATCACTTGCCCACAATTATGCATGGCTAACTAACTAAGCTACATATATGTGCTCTCATCTCCTGGCTCTTAATTTATTGGCTCACTACTCACTGCCAACCACTACTCACTGAGCCATGCAGCACAGCAGCACCCACGTACATATAGCTAGCTCTCCAGGCCATGCAACACACACATGCATATAGATAAACATGCTGAAATTAACAAACGACAAGATTAATTTCTAACAGAATCGACGATCAGTCACAACATCAAATTGATTTGATAGTTGCCAAGATATTGATGATCTATTGGATCAGTTGAGAGGTGCCAAGATATTTTCTAAGATTGAGCTGAGATCAGGATATTATCAATAGATGATTAAGAAAGAAGATAGGCGAAAGACAACATTTACAACAAGGTATGGACTGTACCAATTCACAGTTATGCCATTTGGAGTTACCAATGCTCCAGCTGTGTTTATGAGATTGATGAATCACACACTGTTGGATTATCTTGATAAGTTTGTCATTGTCTTTCTTGATGACATCCTTATCCACTCAAAAAGTAAAGAAGAACATGTGCTGACGGTCGTTATAGACAAATTTCGACCATCAATATATCCAAAATAAAGGGGAACTAGCTATGCTTGCATGCATATTTTGTTTAAGAATAATCTATCTCCACTAGTACTTGAAATTTTATTTGTTTGAAGAGAAAATTACGTAATTGGAGGAGAATCGATGGAAATCAACCGAACAATCAATTGAACTCCATTGAGAGGTAGACTTATAGGTTGATGGGCTTATAAATCCAGTGAAATAACACCAAATGGGCACAACCACCACACCACAGGACCGAGGAATCTACAGGAGGCACACCTTCCAAATTGTGGTCCATTTAGGCCAGGCTAGGGTTCTTCGCATGGAAAGCGGTAGAGGCTGATCCGTAGCTTTGGTCGTCGCACTCTAATCCGCTTTAGAAGAAGCAGCCAAGTTGTTTCTTCTCCCATGCTGGTCCTATTTTTAACTATACATTGGTTACGCACCAAGGTTATACTAAAAAGTCGAGCTCACGGGAGTTGGTTACTGTTGCGTGTCTACACTTGCAGGAGATGGCGAATGAGAGTCTTACCTAGGTAAATTGGTGGCGATTTACTCTTGGTACTGATGGTCCTTAATGCTTCTTGGACCTCCCTTCTTTTAAATTGGTTCGCATGTGTTTTGGCTAAGCGCATCCTTGTTATAGAGACGTCGAGAGTGTTCTTAGCGTAGTTGTATGACTTTGATGTAATAGAACAAGTTTAATAGAACCTTCCATTATCTAAAACAAGTAACCTGTTACCATGGCCATCCACCAAACACCTAGCTGCTCGCTAACGACATGTTATTGGGAGAAATGCGCGGTGACCCATAGACATGGCACATATGCATTCAACCAACCAATTTATGACCACAAAGCTCCTACGCCTTACAGACTATTTAAAGAAATCACGTCCCACTTTCATAATAGCAAGCAACTCATCGATCTAGGTTAGCTAGTTCTTGTTGCATTGAATCATCCCTCATCAAATCATTAGGATATATACTTCATGATGGCCAAGGTCATTGCACTTATGCTTGTGGTTATTACAATGTCAACCATGTTAGCCTCACCCGTGGAATGCGCCAACAAGATTGCTGGTATCATCCCTATTTCGGCATCCGCTTACAACTTTACGACAATGATTGATACCTTTAAAGTGGCCATGTGAGTGCCAACGGAGGATTGCACCGCCAATGTTGACACATGCATAAGTAACACATGCTCCTACATCCGAAAGGCCCTCGATGGTGTTGTTGCTGTTGCACTACCAGCAAATAAGGCGGAAACTTTGGAGGCCACGTCCAAGCAGGCTACGGTTGCTGCCTCTACTCTCAACATGGCCAAGGCTACAGGAGAAACGAAACAAGTTGCCGCGGTTTCCATCGTCTACATGATTGCTGCTGATGCGGTTGACGCAGCCGTACCCGCTGCAAGCTTAGGGTAATGGATGAAACATTTAAAGCAGCCGCTGCTCCAATCGCTTGAGCGAGCAACACCTCATCTGATCCATCCATCAACGAAGATGGAACATGCTACCACAACTACCACCAGATGCACCAAATAGCATCACGATATATTCCTCATGTAATGCTTTTATTATTTAAACTAATGTAATTGCCGTTTTTTTTCATATAGTCTTACTCATGCTAATGACTTGGTCACATTGGAGAAAAGCGTTGTTGGTCGAGCCATATGGCTCGATAAGACCTACTGATATGTTCAATTGTCTCTTCTATTTTGTATTGCAATTTACAAATTGGATGTTTATATATAGTTGCTCCGATTAAAGGGCTTTGCATATGTATATTCGTACATACCCGCACATATATATACATTATGAATGTTGTTAAATATGAATTTAACATTTGACAACTATACATTGTATTTGTATGCAACATTAACAAAACTCACAAACCCATCATGCAAGTCAAAAGAAAAAGGTTAATCATGAGAAAATGTTTGTGTGATCCTGAACCACACAATTTTACTTTATGAGGTTACCTTCATGACAAATAATTTATTGTTTTTTTACGATTAACGGTTTCGGACAAATATAAATGTTTCTAACAGAGCATGTGGACTTCATATGCATCATTTCTACCGGAGCTTTGCTCATCTCCATTGCCATGTCATTGGAACAGCAAAATGGTCATATGACCTCTTGTTCATGCCGTTGGCACAAGAACATGATAGCTGGGACCCAACTTGGCTTCAGCCATAGGTATCAACAGCTATAACAAAAGAGAATGCTATGCTTGGACCCAAAGGAAAAAAAAATTGAAAATTGGAAGCAACAGATTGCTCTAGATTGTCCCTAGAATTGGTATCGGTGGTGGTGCGCGAGGAAATAACTAGAAGTGTTTCCTTTGGGATTAAGCCGTGGCAGAAATCAAGTTGTTTGTGGTGACGATGTTGCTGATTGAAAGCAAGAGCAATAGTGATGTACTCTAGGTGAGGATGGTCATTCATCCATGAGAGAATAAGAATACTCCTTGCATAATTAATTATTAGAAGGTAGGTGTGCAAGAGTCTCACACTAACTCGACCTTATACTATAAAAAACTGTAAGTTAAACATGTAACCATCTATATACATTTAGAGCCCATTCTAATAATGATTTCTATGTTACTTGCGTCACGGGACACTTGTGATCCTAAAACTCTGCATTCCAATTTGCAAACCTAAGTACTATGTTGAGAATGGATTATAACAACCTGTTACCAATAGTAAACATAGGAAAAAAAATTCTTATATTGCGAACTTGTACAATCACCCAAGTCTTATATTACCAGCTTCTACAAGCAACTTTTTAGTCAACCTGAGGACTCTCATTTTACAGCGGATGAATAAAGAACAGAGGATTGTCCTAGGTTACGAAGTTGAAAAATGAGTTCCTTATGACACCTTTACAGAAAAATATGTCCGGGTAGCTGTGTTTGGGATAGAACATAATAAGGCCCCTAGACCGGATGGTTTTTCAGTGTAGTTCTATAAAAACTTTTGGAATATCATTAAAGAGGTTTTAATGAATATATTAAACGAGTTTTATGCGGAAGTCCTCCCACTGTCCAGCCTTAATTTTACGGTAATAACACCCCTTTCGAAAGTTCAAGATGCATACATAATACACCAATATATAGACCAATATTTTTGTTGAATGTCGGTCTTGAAATTTTCACCAAGGTTGCAACTAATACAGTTAATTCTCTGACTGGTCATGTCGTGAGCTCCACATAAACTGCCGTCATGCGAGGATGCAACATCCAAGGTGGTATTGTTAATCTACGCGAGACAGTACATGAATTGCATCACAAAAAATTGAATTTTGTGATATTAAAGGTGGAACAAAACGCAACTGGCAAGGCGATCAAAACTGTTATTTCTCTACCAATAAGGAGGCAATTAGACATCTTTTCTTTTAATGTTGCTCAGCCTACTTAGTTTGTTCCATCATTTATATGCCATCTAGAATTACTCCACCTGATAATGTTTCACATGTGTTCACACTAGTTGGCTGTCAGGTATTTAAAAAGATATGCAACCATATGGGGTGGCTAACACGTGTAGGTTGGCTTGCTTATGCAGGAACTATATGGTTTCATGACCAAAGATACTCGGCTTCCTCTTCATCAAATCACGAAAATCAACCCTTAGTTAGCTGCACCAAAACTAGAGCAGGCCCAAGACAAGCAAGAACAGTCAGTCAGCACCGCTTAGGCAGGAAGCAGATAGTAAGCTAAGAATACTCGAAGAAGGAGGTCGCTCAGCCGAAGCCCTAGTTCAACCAGAACAGTAGGGAAAGCGATAGAGGCTGCTCCGTAGCTTTGGCCGTTGCACTCTAATCAGATTTAGAAGAAGCTGCCAAGTTGTTTCTTCTCCCTTGATGGAGCTATTTTTAACTATACATTGGTTACGCACCTAGGTTATACTAAAAAGTCGAGCTCGCAGGAGTTGGTTACTGCAGGGAGTCTACACTTGCAGGAGATGGCGAATGAGTGTCTTACCTAGGTAAATTGGTGGCAATTTACTCTTGGTAGTGATGGTCCTTAATGCTTCTTGGACCTCCTTTCTTTTAAATTGGTTTGCGTGTGTTTTAGCTAGGCGCATACTTGTTATAGAGAGGTCGATAGTGTTCTTAGCATAGTTGTATCACTTTGACGTAATTGAACGAGTTTAATAAAAGCTTCGATTATCTAAAACAAGTAGCCTATTACCATGGCCATCCACTGGACACCTGGCTGCTCGGTAACGACATGTTATTGGGAGAAATGCACGGTGACCCACAGACATGGCACATATGCATGCAACCAACCAATTTATGACCACAAAGCTCCCGCGCCATACAGACTATTTAAAGCAATCACGTCACACTTTCATAATAGCAAGCAACTCGTTGATCTAGGTTAGCTAGTTCTTGTTGCATTGAATCATCCCTCATCAAATCATTAGGATATATACTTCATGATGGCCAAGGTCATCGCACTTATGCTTGTGGTTATTACAGTGTCAACCTTGTTAGCCTCACCCGTGGAATGCGCCAACAAGATTGCTGGTGCCGTCCCTATTTTAGCATCCGCTTAAAACTTTACGACAATGATTGATATCTTTAAAGTGGCCATGTTAGTGCCAACGGAGGATTGCACCGCCAATGTTGACACGTGCATAAGTAATACATGCTCCTACATCCGAAAGGCCCTCGATGGTGTTGTTGCTGTTGCACTACCAGCAAATAAGGCGGAAACTTTGGAGGCCACGTCCAAGCAGGCTACGGTTGCTGCCTCTACTCTCAACATGGCCAAGGCTACAGGAGAAAAGAAAAAAGTTGCCGCGGTTTCCATCGTCTACATGATTGCTGCTGATGCGGTTGACGCAGCCGCGCCCGCTGACAAGCTTAGGGTAATGGATGAAACATTTAAAGCAGCCGCTGCTCCAATCACTTGAGCAAGCAACACCTCATCTGATCCATCCATCAACGAAGATGGAACATGCTACCGCAACTACCACCTGATGCACCAAGTAGCATCACGATATATCCCTAATGTAATGCTTTTATTATTTAAACTAATGTAATTGCCGGGTTTTTTCATGTAGTCTTTCTCATGCTAATGACTTGGTCACATTGGATCAGAGCATTGTTGGTCGAGCCATATGGCTAGATAAGACCTACTGATATGTTCAATTGTCTCTTTTGCTTTGTATTGCAATTTACAAATTGGATATTTATATATAGTTGCTCTAATTAAAGGGCTTTGCATATGTATATTCGTACATACCCGCACACAAATATACATTATGAATGTTGTACAATTTGAATTTAA